TCTCCCCAGGAGCCCCCGAGCTCACGGGGAGAGCGCGGCCGAGCCTCGAGTGCTCCTGCCTCCGCTTGGGAGGAGAGAGAGAGCTGCTGCCAGGGGCTGCACCGTCATAAATCGATCACTAGATATATATTTTATATATGTACATACACAAAATTAAATTTTAAACGGGTAAAAATAAGTGTAAAATAGATTTAGATGGGTAATATATATCTAAAACCAGAGTTGAGTGGATAGAAATAGGTGCAAAATAGATTTAAATAGGAAATATGTATCTAAAACCAGATTTAAATGGATAGAAATAGGTATAAAATACATTTAAATGGGAAATATATATCTAAAACCAGAGTTGTGTGGATAGAAATAGGTGCAAAATAGATTAAAATGGGTAATGTGTGTCTAAAAACAGACTTAAATGGATAGAAATAGGTATAAAACAGATTAAAATGGGTAATATATGTCTAAAACCAGATTTAAATGGATAGAAATAGGTATAAAATACATTTAAATGGGAAATATATATCTAAAACCAGAGTTGTGTGGATAGAAATAGGTGCAAAATAGATTAAAATGGGTAATATGTGTCTAAAACCAGATTTACATGGATAGAAATAGGTATAAAATAGATTTAAATGGAAAATATATATCTAAAACCAGAGTTGAGTGGATAGAAATAGGTACGAAATAGATTTAAATGGGAAATACATATCTGAAACCAGATTTAAATGGATATAAAATAAATTTTAAGCCTATATAAGATACAGACACATCAAAAATCCTCCCTAACTTTATTTTTTTTCACCCCCCTCCCCTCTTGTTTCTCCGGCTGCAGACCCCGCAGTGATTTCCCCCCAAGACCCCACCTTGCTGATCGGCTCCTCGCTGGTGGCCACGTGCACGGTCAGCCCGGACTTTCACCTGAAAGCCGAGGACCTGTACTGGACCCTCAACGGCCGGCGCCTGCCCGCCGCCTCCTACGTCGCCCTGGGGCCCACCACGCTCAGCGTGGTCCTCGCCCGCCTCAACGGCTCCAAGCAGCAGTCGGGGGACAACCTGGTGTGTCACAGCAGAGACGGGGGCATCTTGGCCGGCTCCTGCCTTTACGTTGGACGTAGGTCGGCGGTGGCACGTGCCGGGTTTCACCTGGCGGCGTGTTGCCGGGATGTGTCCTTGCCCCACCGGGCTGCCCCCCAACTTTTTTGGGGTGCTGGGTTGGGGGGAAGAGCGGTGGATGCCGGCAGAGCATCCCCGTGGGGATTAACACCCGGTTCTTGCCAAAAAAACTCATCGGGGGCTCGCAACAGCTGATGGGTTTTATCCTTCCCCGCGATGCCCGGTGCCCGCGCCGGCTGGTTTTTGGCAAACCGGGGGTAAAATTGTGCTTGTCCGAATCAATAACCGTAAGATTTTTATCTCGGGCTATTTTAAGGACGATGCGACGTCCTAAGGAATACAGAGGCTGAGCTGGGAACACGGCTTGGGTTTGTTTTTCGGGTTGTTGTTGCTGGAAGAAAACAGCTCCGGGGGCCGGGTGTAGGCAGGGGCAGGCAAGAACCTAAACCCACCCCCCCAATCCCACCCCCCCATCAAACATCTTTGTAGCCACGGGGCTGGCAACCTGCAGCCGGTGGGGACCACGGTGGTGGCATGGCCCCATCGGGCTGCGTTTTTGCCTTTTCAACCCTCTCAGCCTCTTAATTAATTTATTTTTTAAATTTCCCTCTCCCCAGTACCCCCAGAGAAACCGGTCAACATCACCTGCTGGTCCAAAAACATGAAGGACCTGACCTGCAAATGGGCGCCGGGGACGGAGGGGGAGACCTTCCTGCACACCAACTAC